TAAAGACATAAATACACATACCTTTTGCTGGTCAGATATAAATGAATATCGTATAGGGATAAGTTGGTTAAGATCTTCTAATAATAGTTCAACAAACTACTTCTAAGAATCTCTTATTTTAGATTCAGCCACAACATATGCAATATGTATCATTTGGTTGTTTCCATCCTTGCCTACAATTGGCATGAGCTGACCACCATGTTCTCCTTTCAAGAAGAAAGTATCCAATCCAATTAATGGTCTACATGTGTGAGCAAAAGCAGGCTTACAACCTTCCAAGCAAATATAAATCCTCTCAAAGACATGTCCTACTTCAGATGCCCCACATTTAATTATTATTGTGATGTTAGGATTTGACCTTTTGAGCTCTTCAACATAACTCCTTAAGTGTGCATATTTCTCACTACAAGCACCTTCTATCAACTCCATTGCTCTCTTCTTTGCCCTATATTCTTGAAAATGGTTGAGCCTAACATTCCACCTAAGAAATGCCTCATCATCCAATCCACTAGGCTTGATATGAGGAGTGTGCCTAATCAACAAAATAAACTTCTTTGCTAGCCATTTAAGCTTGTTTATTCCCAACTGATCTAACACATTCATGATCCTTTTTCAAACTTGTTACTTGTCAATACTAACTTGCACTCCTTTTAGCAACTAACATATGACATGGACAAGTTGGTTGACATTTCACAACCATCCTAACAATATCATTTTTGTAGAACCATAAATTTGTCTTTGTTTCCATAACATGATCTCTGACAGCATCCATGATTAGTTCCTTTGAAGCAACCTGCATCCCCATCTCAAACCTAACACCATCACCATTTTCAGGAACTTTGAAAGTAGGAAAGTTCCTTTTGTGAACAATTTTATCATCACTTTCAACTGGAGTGTGTAAATCACTTTCATCTTGGTCAGACTCTTCATAAGCAGCTTCTGTTTCATTCATGATTCCACCCCAATAGGTATTTCATTTGTCTAATCCCATTCTACTCCATCAACACCTATATCAGATGCAACATTATCTTCACTTTCATATTCAGTTGCAACATAATCTTCATCTTCTTCACTAATATAACCATCCTCAGCCTCCTCCATAACCTCCTCATGTTGCGCTCCATCACTTCTAACCCCTTCTTCATTCTTATCCTCCTCTCTAACCTTCTCACCTCCAACCTCTTCATATTGTGCTTCAAAACTTCTTACACCTTCATTCTCAGCCTCCTCTATAACCTCCTCATGTTGTGCTCCATCACTTCTTACAACTTCTTCATTCTCAGCATCCTCCCTAACCTCCTCACCTTCAACCTCCTCCATAAAAACTTCTTCAACATCAAAATTACATCCAACTTCATCATTCCTAATCTCATCATCCAAAGGTCCTTCATCACCAACTTCAACTATATCAGGAATATCAACTTCATGTTCAACATAAATATCTACTACATTATATCCTTTAGCATCTACAACAAGCTCCAAAACTTCGCCATCATTAATTAGAGGCTTAAGTCCACACTGGAATGATAGCTTTGAATGCTGGTACCACAAACACTTGAACTTCGTATACCCAGTATTAAGCACTTCCTTTTTAATGTCTTCATAATTCGTCCAATCAACGTCGAAAGCTTCTCCCATCTCATAAACTATACCCTCCACATACACTTTGACGGGGAAACTTACAAATCTACTCCCATGGTTGATACGTAACTTCAACTTCTGATCATCACTTGACTTATGCACGTCACAACCACAATGAACAAAAAACCCTAATTAATACGATTTCTATGCAACAAATTAAGATTCATGCAATAAAACCTAATTGATAACACAAGTTACATACCTGAAACAATATTTCAGTTTGTCTTTCGTTGCCATGGTCGATTTGATGGAAGATGGAAGACAAAGAATACGAAGAAGAAGGGAAAAATTGTATTTGGAAACGAAGAGACAAAGAGACAAAGTCTTGAGTTCTGAAAATGATTTTAATATTTATATCATATTTAAAAAGTTAATTTGATGAATTAATAATTTAAACTTCCAAATATGCATTGCCACGTAACCCTTCCTCTAATTTATCACTTAAAATTTTGACACATCAATATTTTTGAAGGAAAAATAGAGACTAAGATTAATATTGCAACCAACAACATAAATTAAAAACTGCTTTATTTTAATTAAAAATATAAAAATCAATTTGATAAATTGGTCAAAACAGAGAACCAAAAATATTATTAAACCTAAAAAAAACTCCATCGCTTTCGCAACTAAAAGTTTGTTACTAGTGCAATAAACATTCAATTAAACTAATCAATCAATCAACTACCTTTATATTTTAATCAAAAAAAAAAAAAACTACCTTTATATATACATTACGTACATACAATACAACAACACATTGAGCCACACACAGCGAGTGTATCCCAACAATGGCAGTACTTCATGGCAATTGGGTCAAGGTCTGTTCTCACCCTTTCATCTTTTTTGTTATGCTTGTTGATTCATTTTTACAATTCATTTTTATAGCTTTTTGAAATTTCTCTTTTTCACTATTACTGTTGAATTTCACTTTAGTCATACCAATTGGTAGATCTTTTCTTGTGTTTGTTTTAGCTTATTGAGTCATGTGATTTAACCTAAGATATATATTAAATTTGTGAAGTGATTTTTGTTTAAAGTTAGTGCAGTGAAAATTTGGGTTTTTTTTTTTGGTTTAGGGGTCTTTTTGATAGTGATATACTACTGAGGTTTTCAATAGCATAAAGATTTCAGGTCAAAATCAAGTTTTTGACTTCAATTTTCCTCTAACAATCAAACAAAGGATTTGAAATTGTTATTGCTAGTTAGTACTTGGATTAATCCAATGGTTAAAAGCCAAAAAATGGAATATTCCGAAAATTAATAAGATTCCTGTAAAATTTATTCAGATTTTTTTAATTATTGTGTCAGCTTGATCAAAGAGGAATCACACAAGGAGCAAGAAGTTCTCATGCTATTGCTGTAGTAGGGCAAAAGGTCTATGCGTTTGGGGGTGAGTTTGTGCCTCGTGTCCCCGTTGATAACAAGTTACACGTGTACGACTTAGATACCTTGACATGGTCAGTAGCCGATGTATCCGGCACCACCCCGCCGCCACGCGTTGGCGTCACAATGGCTGCAGTTGGAGAAACCATCTATGTATTTGGTGGAAGAGATGTTGAACACAATGAACTCAATGAACTCTATTCTTTTGATACTAAGACCAACAACTGGGCCTTGGTTTCAAGTGGAGATATTGGGCCTCCTCACCGGAGCTACCATTCCATGACGGCTGATGACCGACATGTGTATGTTTTTGGCGGCTGCGGGGTCGCTGGAAGGCTCAATGATTTATGGGCATTTGATGTTGTTGATGGTAAGTGGGTGGAATTTCCATCTCCCGGTGAAACTTGCAAGGGAAGAGGCGGGCCGGGCCTAACAGTTTCCCAAGGAAAAATATGGGTTGTTTATGGTTTCGCAGGAATGGAAGTCGATGACGTTCATTGCTTTGATCTGGCTCATAAAACATGGACCCAAGTGGAAACAGGTGGGCTCAAACCAACGGCCCGTAGTGTGTTTTCAACTTGTTTGACAGGGAAACACATAATTGTATATGGTGGGGAAATAGATCCTAGTGACCAAGGTCATATGGGTGCTGGTCAATTTTCTGGCGAGGTTTATGCATTAGACACCGAGACATTATCATGGACGAGGTTGGACGATAAGGTGGAATCCGGTGGCCATCCTGGGCCGCGTGGATGGTGCGCATTCGCCAGTGCTCGCCGAGGTGGTCGTGAGGGCTTATTGGTATATGGTGGGAACTCTCCTAGTAATGACAGACTGGATGACATTTTCTATCTCGCTCTTGCTCAAAGTTAGTTGGTGAATAATTAACCGGTGTGATGTAATAGCATAGTTGCATTATGTGTGATGGATTTTAGGTGCATATTGTTGTGCTATGAGGGCAATATGGCATGTGAACTTTTATGTATGTTTTTGTTTGTGAATGTACTTGTGTTCTGGAATAAAAGGGAAACAACAAAAAGAGTGTGATGATTGTTGGTTAAATGAGCTAAATCTATGTGATATAAGTTATACTGTACTTGTAATCGTAAGACCAAGCTTTTTATGCAGAGCTTTCTAGGGAACATTGATTTTCATTTCCTTCCAAACTACACACCTCTTCAACCTTTGTTTTGAATCCATCAACCTTTCTTTCATACAAAACTAATGCACATATAATAACCTCAAAAATAATATGATGGCCCCAGTCACAGGTGGTGTGATTTAGCAGGAATTAACTTGGTTTATCATCCTGGCGCGAGGTGAGCACACCAGACAGAGGTTCCAAGCAGGAATTAACTTGGTTTATCATCCTGGCGCGAGGTGAGCACACCAAACAGAGGTTCCAAGCTTCTAAGCCTCGCTATAGGGTATGTTGTGTACTCTTAACTGTGAACTTCTTAGATGGTCCATGCCATTCTTTGGATTGAGCTTCTTAGACCCGTGCTATTGCATTAACTAAAAACTAAGTTTTGTTTACAAATAAAAACTAAGAATTTGATATTCCTGTACTCTATAAAATCAAATCTATAACTTAAAATGGTAATAATAATTCTTTTAAATTTATTCCTATATGCTTCAAAATTTCAAACATTAGGTCCTATTTATTCTACCAATTTTTACAAATTGATTCCTAGATTTTTTCACAAAATTGGAGATCACTTCCAACAAAATTTTAAAACTTACAAATTAGTCTCTTAATCTAAAAATTATATTTTAGTCCCTACCTTTTGAATCAAGTATATTAAGAATTTCATTTGATTAATAAATGACAGATTTGGAATCAAACTTTTTTTTTTAGTAAAAAAAAACATAATTTTTTATGTGTTAGTTGCTTTTTATTTTATTTTTTCAATCTAGTTGCTTTCTTAAATCCAAGTTATGACAATCTAGAAAATGGAGTAACAAAAGTTCGACATATGTTCTATTATGATCAATCTAACATTGATAGTTTTTCAGTCAAAGAATCAAATTCAAAGCTTAGTATCCCCACAATCGATTTAGCAGGAATCCATGATGATCCTGTTTTGAGAGATGAAGTTGTGAGAAAAGTTCAATATGCTTCTGAGAAATGGGGATTCTTTCAAGTTACAAATCATGGAATTCCAACTCATGCTTTGGATGAGATGATCAAAGGAATTTGTAGATTTCACCAACAAGATGCTAAGGTGAGGAAAGAGTATTACACTCGCGAGTTTACGAAAAAAGTTGTTTATCTTTCCAATTTTACTCTTTACCAAGACCCATCTGCTGATTGGAGAGATACAATTGGATTTTTCATGGCACCTCATCCTCCTAAAGTTGAAGAACTACCAGCAATTTGCAGGTTTGTCTTAATAGTACTTTATGAGTAAATTATATTTCTACGTAGCACTGACACTTCAGATTAATGTAGACATGTCAGTGTCGTAGATGATATCATATCCAATATTTCTGCAAGTGCCACTGTTTCATAGAATGAAAATATTTTCCCTTATTCTATTTATAAGAAAAAAGTTTACTTTTTAGATTCATGAATAGATAATGTATATAGTCTATATATTGTTCATGTTTTACTTGCAGTGATATTGTGATTGAAACTCAAAAGAAATAACGGTGCTTGGTTCTTCTTTGTATGAGTTATTGTCGGAGGCTCTTGGCCTTAACCGCTTCTACTTTAAAGAAATGGATGGTGCTGGAAGTTTTTTTCCATGCATGTCACTATTATCCACCATGTCCAGAGCCGGAGTTAACCATAGGCTCTAGCAAACACACAGATTCGAGCTTTTACTACAATACTTTTGCAAGATCATATCGGTGGTTTACAAGTTCTTCATGACAATCAATCGATTGATGTGCCTCCCATTCATGGAGCTCTTGTAGTCAACATTGCAGATCTTCTACAGCTTGTGAGTAATGACGAGTTCAAAAGTGTTGAGCACAGAGTTTTGGCAAACCATATAGGCCCAAGAATTTCAGTGGCATATGTTTTTAGAACTCATGATCATTCACCAGAGTATATGGAAAAAGTGATTGGTCCAATTAAAGAGTTGTTATCTAAAGAAGTTCCACCAATATACAAAGATATTTATTTCAAAGAGTTCTTGACTCATCGTTATGCAAATGGTATTGGAGTTTCTGCTCTATCACCCTACAAGTTGTGACCTATGAACAAATTCATGTAGTCTTTAGATTCATATTCTTGGATTTAAGGTTGTTTCATGAAGTAGCAACATGTTTATTTTCGTAAGGTTATTGTTAAGCTCTTAAAGCTCTATCAATCACTTAATTGTTGTTAGTTAACTTATTCATAGATTGTTTAGAAGTTAGTTAATATGGTGGTTAGGTAGTTTTAACTATCTACATGTGTGGTTACTAACTAAAAGTTAGTTGGTTCGTAGCATGTTCATATAAAATGATGTAACTCATTGATTGTATGACTATCAAGCCTAATTGAAGGCAATCTCTACTTTGATCCTTCTCAATTCTCTCTTTATTTCTCTTTCCTCCATTTTTTGTAGAGCAAAAAGGCTTGTGCTCTAACAGATTTGGTATATTATGCCCGATTCTTGAGTGTTTAGAATACACAAATTCATGAAATTTCTTCCATAATCAACCGAGTAAAGATGACGGGTGATAAGGGTTTTTCGAACATACTTTCAATCCTTGATGGTAAGAATTGAGAGAGACAACACAAACAAATGAAGGCTTTGTGAGACTATCAAGACACACTCAAAGTTGTTGCAAATGGAGCTCACTCAAAGTTGTTGCAAATGGAGCTCCTCAAAGTTGTTGCAAATGGAGCTCAAGAATTCATTGCAAATGAAATTGGAGCCTAAAAGAATACAAGGAAATGTACTCCATACAAGCAACAATATATGTTGCAAACTTTGATAAGATTTCTCATGAGAATGAAAATGAGGCATGAGACATCTTGACGAAATACTATGAAGGAGGTGACGAAGTGAAGGGTGTTAAGTTGTAACTTATGAGAAGACAATATTGATTATTGCAAATGGGAAAAATGAAATTGTTACACTCTATGCATCAAAGATTCAAGGCTTGATTCACACGATAAAAAATTGTGGTAAAGTGATGAATGATAAAATGGTTGATTGAAAAGGTGATAAGGACATTCACTTCTCATGTTGATCATGTGGTAGTTGTTAAGAATCTATCACTTTAGAAACTATGAATATGGATGATCTTATATGATCTCAAGAAAGAACATGAGTTGAGGATTCTTAAAAGAAAGACACTATTACAGACAATTCATGTTTCACAAGCTTGGACTTTCAATAAGAATGGTGGTTTTGAGAGGCATAAAGGGAAAAAGATTTAAGATAAGTTCAAGAAGTACACAAGTTCAAACTTCTAGAAGATTAAGTTTGATGGTAAACTCAAATCATTTAAGAAAATAGAAGAGACATCAAACTTAAACTTAAAAAAGACTCAAAGCAAGGACAAGAAGCATATTTAATGATATAATGTGAAAAATAGGCTCATTATGACTCATATTAATGGTACAATAAAGGAAAGAAGAAGGCTTAAGACATTGGTGATGATGAAGCTAAAATAGTTCAAGATGATTCATATGCTAATATTGTACTGTTTATGACTGCATTGTTTGAAGATCAACATAAAATATGATCTTAGTTTCTAGATACAGGATGCTCAAACTATATGACAGTTCACAAGAACTGCTTTATCAAGTTTGATCATCCAATAAAGAGTAAGGTGAAACTAACAGATAGTAGAATCTTACAGGATGAAGAAATTAGAAACATGGTGATAAAAAAGAATGATGGTAGATCTGAAATCATTGAGGATGTGTTGTTTGTATTAGGAATAAAACTTAATATACTAATTGTTGGCCATCTTATTGATAAAGGGTTATTTGTAGTCATGAAGAATGGTGTATATGTGTTGTTGGGGTAAAGCAACAAGTAAAAGTAAGTATTTTTTTAATCATATCCATAGAGATTAATGTGAGGGATCAAATGTTGTTCAATAATCTTTACGTTTCTAAGCTTGGTTTGAATGATTTAAAAGTGTAAAATGAGGAAAGTAAAACATATGAGCAAGTAAATTATGTATTATTTAGAGAGGAGAGAACTCGTCTGGATTGGATTTCATCTACCTATCAAATACTTAAATCTACCGATCAGTTGTACACAAACTAAAACACTCGTCAATATCATCACGTATCCGTCACATTAGTGTTCATGCCTGAAGCACCGACGAGAGTTCTACTGTATTGTCTCATTGGTGATGTGTCACGCAACTAAACAACACAGAGTATTAAGAATCGATACTCACTGTGAATATTAGATCTAAATCTATTTCTAGAGTTTAGATTCTAATAGATGTTCATTCTAAATCAAGATCTGAAGAGTATAAGTCTATAGCAACTCAAATCCAAACATAAAGAAATTAAAAAAGGACAACGTAACACAGTGGGAGAACTGACTTGGATGTTTTGCGTTTGATCGCAATTGTTGCGGATAGCAAGAGTCGCCACTGAATTTTCTTTTATCCAAATAAAGGAAAGGGTGAAAAGAACATGAAAGACCTTTGAGATTATTTTCTTGAGTTCGGGGGGTAGATTATGAAAAGGGAAGGTATTAGCACCATTTTTATCCATAGTTATCTATGGACTCTTAGTTGCTTGCTAGATCATTTGATTTTGTTTTGAAAATATGCTTTATAGTGTGGTTTTGAAAGTATTTTGAAAACATGCCTTTGTAATGATTCTCGTCTCTATAAGAATGCATACAAAGTTTTGCTTGGAAAATAGTTCAAAGAAGTGTTTTTTTTTAAAGTGATTTTGAAAAGGTGTCTTTGTAATGATTCTTATCTCTATAAGAACGCATACAAAGTGCTGTCTTTTGAAAATATTTCAAAATGAAAGTGTTGGTGTATAAAATGTTTTTGTTGTGAGCAAGTGAGCAACTAAGAGAAATCTACCTACTCAAAGATCTTTTGTTCTTTTCCTCCTCCTTTAGATGTTGATATCTTACCATTGATTTGGTAAGAAGCCCCATCATTGGATGTGAAGGGACGGGCGTGGATCATCGTATAGTCATAGAAGGCAATGTTGTGAGATATCTTAGTATTTCTCTTGAGGGACTAAGATCATTTGTAAGGCAACATTTGAAGCGTCATCGAGGAACTATGATCTTGTATTTTGATTGTTTTTGCTAAAACATCTCACATGCATAACATGACCATTGTTTATAAGGCAACAAGTGGAATTGCCCTAGGGGTGCATGTGTGAATAATATGTTTGATTTGCATGCATTTAGTCTTTTATTATGGATTGTCTACTTGTTGTTTTTATCTTGCCATACATCCTAATTACTAACATTTGTATAAAGCAATAAAAATGCAGAAGATAAAATATCCTAACTATTACAGCCATATTGAATAGCAAGAAAATGTAAAGACAAAAATAAAATAAAAAGAGAGAAAAAAAGAATCATTCGATCCAGACAGTAGGCTCTTTCGATTCCCCCTTCTTTTGCTTCCTTCGATTGGGAAAATAGTGTGAGATACAACCTTCGATTCATCCTTCTGGCTGCTCCTTTTGATTGGGCCTGGAAGTCAGCATGAGGTGCACTATTCGTTTCAAAACTCCTTGCTGCCTCCTTCGATCGTAGGAATGCAAAGCTCCCAGGTTGAGATTCGAAAGGCTTCAATGCTTAGCCAATTGAAGGATACAGAGAACCTGTCTAAAATTAAAAATGCAACTAACAAGTATAACTTTCAAAAACTACAGACCAGGGGTTAGCACAAGATTTTTGGGCACCAAAATCTAAAGTCTAACTAGTCAGGATTGAGACTTTCAACATACAGGCAGTGAGGATCGAAAGTTAGGGCATGGTCAACTTCCTAAATGGGATATCTACATTTTCTTTTTATTGGTATGTACACATGATATTTAAATGAAAGAGTTCCGAGTTTAGAGAGAACTTACCTCTCGAAGTGCTTAATCGAAAGAGCTGTAGGTGACTTCTTTGGTGGTGGAGGGAGCTTCGCTGGAATCTTCCTGAAGCTAGTTCAGTTACTGCTTGGTTTGGGAAGTCACTGAATCGAAAGAGAGTATATGATGGTGATGAGTGAATCGAAGGTTATTACGCTACAATTTAGGGGAAGTGAATCGAAAAGCACACTACTGAGGGTTTTCTCTAGAAAAAATCTTAGAGTTTTGAAGGTTTTAGAATGTTGGAGAGTTTGAGAATATTGGAGAGTTTGAGTGCTTGAGTATTTTTATGATTTTTCTCTCTAGCAAAAATCTGGCCCCCTTTCTTCGTCAATGGTTTCTCTATTTATAGAGAAAAGGTTTGGGAGTTTAAACAAAAATGTGGCTTGGCTGAAACATGAATATTAAGCTATGTCAGGTTTTCTAAGATCCCAAGGTGAAGTACTAAAGTTGTTGGTTAAAAGGGGATGACTTCCCTGACTTATGGTGAAGTATAAACAGGATTTAAGCAAAGCATGGGCTTAGGACAGGATTTGTACTAGCAAGTTCACTTTCATAAAAAAAAACTTCTGGACAAAGGCTTGATAACCTGGACAATAACTTAATCCAAAATGTAAGCAATTAATTATAGAGTGAAATAAAAGCATTAAGGTCTGTAAAGTAAGATAATGTAGCATGACCCATAGATTTGATCAGTGTTCTTTCAAAATCCTATTTTCCACTTGTGTCGAAGAGTTCTAGAAATGTACTAAAGAAGACTGCTTCGAAGGGAGCAAAATGCCCAAACGAAGCTTATGGATTAAACTTGCATCGAAGGAGATTTCCTACCTCAAATGAAGTACGTAACCCCAACTTTCATTCGAAGGAGGCCACAAAGTCAAACAAAATATGCATGCAGGAAGTTTAAATGTGCAATCGAAGGATACCAAAAGGAGGCTTTTTGCCTTGGAATCGAAGGAGGCTACAAGAGGCTTTTTGCCTTGTGACTTCATGCCAACATGCAAAAGATCTATGTTCGAACGAAACTTGCATGAAGGGAACCAACATGCCCAAACGAAAGGTGTGACCAGTAGCTTGTACTGAAGGAACCACATGTCTAAATGAAAGGTGCATGTAGGAGGCCAAAATGTCCAGATTCGAAAGAGGCATATAGGAGGAAAAAAGTGCACATCGAAGGATGTT